TAAATTCATGTGACTTTATTGACTAATATTTGCCTTTTTCTAATGACATATTCAGATCATTGCATAAATGACAAAGTCTATAGTATACCCATTTTTTAGTGATGGATGTGAGCATCCAATATACATGGCTCTTGCACGGTAGGTCTTCTCTAACCTGTCGTATTGATACCAGTCTACATTCTTAGTTTTCTCAAAGTAGATGTCAGCAACGTGGTGGCTTCCGTTGCAATATGAAACTCCAGCTAGACGATACCTATATTTGAAGATTAGCAAGATAGAAAATCAATGAAATAAAATTCTAATGCCTACCTTTTTGCCATAACGTGGTCCTCATAGAAAAAACTGATTTCTTCGGGTAGGTCCTTGTTCTGAAGATATACTCCTTCGTCATTAATACTAATTCCTGTAATATTAATTACAAGAATCAAGGGAAGTCACTGGTCAATTTGTCTTGTTGATATGGCATTGTCCGCATATCGGTATACATTCCTAAGATATCAGAAGAAAAATTTGAGAGTAAATAAATAAAACGTAAAAAGGATAAATGGATAAATGTAAAAAATTACTTACTTAGTTTCCCCAGTCTCGACTAAAGTGACTTTTTCAATTTCGTAGGCATTGACAGGAATATTCTTTGGTGCTTCGCCATTGGTAGTCTTGAACTCGGATCTACATATGCAGAGGTAAGATTCTTGCTAGTGTTTGAGACAAGTTTCAAAATAGGTGCTTCCTAACAATACTGATGCATTCATTTTTCTAGAAAAAATATATAAATTAGTAATCCTTTCACAGTCCTAACATCACACACCCTACGCCAATTAGCCCCGCATCGAATAGTCATCCAATTCACACCAACTAATCACTCTAACTAGCACACTCTAACTAGCCATCTACTTTACGCCCACACCAAATAACCTGGCCACCACTCCGATTAGTCACAAATAGTTCATTAATTCAATTTTATTGAAAAAAATTGACATTCATAGCATTCAATGCTGATATGCCCACAGACCCATTCTAAATGATTAGATACTTACATAAGTACAATATTGAAACAATTTACCAGAGACAGAACTTTCTTTGGACAATAGCTTGAATCACATTCAGTTGTTATCATACTTTTAACAATGATGAGATTTTGGTCCAAGGAATCGTGGAAGAACTGTTCAAAAAAACATTCTAAAAGACTTCCAAATAAATTTACTTGTTCCTTTTTTTCTGACTTAACATATGACGACAGATTCTCGACCCATAAAAACTTGGCTTCTACCCATCGTTTTTGTTTCATAAGGTCGAGAACTTGTAGAAGGTGAC